CCGGGGAGATGTTTTAAGTACCATGAAGCTCAATTCAGAGGGGTACTCTGATATAAAAATAAATAAATAAACTAAACTAAATGTATGATTTGATGACCAGACAATAGTATATGCTATTTGTGGACCATATCTCATCCTTTGACTAATGAAGAATGGTAAGAGATCCATACCGTGCTGGTTTCTTTAAGCTTATCAATTGACTTTCCAATAATACTTTCTTTCTTCTGAACCTGAAGCAATCGCCTTCCTTCAGCTTCATCACCATAACTGGCAGAGTCACGCATATTAAGTTCATCCTGAAAAGTAAACATGAAAAATCAACTGAACTGTACTACTTGAATAAAAACCTCAGTGATAAGTAAGAAGGCAACTACAAGAAGATGATTCATAGATCAGAAAAGTATATTTAGTAAGCTTCAAGTGAAGCCAAATTCACATCTACGGCCATAGCCTATTTTACAAGGCTGAATGATTATGAACCAAGAATGTATATTAGCTTAAACACTCCATGTCTCAGAAAAGTGCCTAGTTCATGCAAAATATGCCCAATTTTACAAGGAAATAAAGATGGAAAAAAAAGGACATTACAAAGTGCTGATCCTGTTGCGAAAATTAACAGAAAGAGAAACCAGAACATGCAGATTTACATGGTTCACTGTTCACCCAAAACTTGGGTTACATTCTGTTAGGCGCCAAATGTTACACATTTTAGCCCATTTACTTGCATGTTTTATTCTCTTAATAATAGTTTATTTGTGATTTTACATTGTTTTATTATTTTTATTTATTTCAGGGCTTCAATTGTAAAATCAGTCAAGACCAGTGATTCTGAGCTTTAAAAGATGACATTCCGTGGGACCGAGCAATGTTGAAGATCCAAGTCTAATTATACTTAGAAAATAGTCCAAAAGAAGCCACAAGTTGATGAGAATGGAAAGAAGAAGAAAAAGAAAAATTCTTCTCCAAGAAGGAAACTTTCGCCAAAGTTGGTAACTTGAACCCGTTTTGGTAATCTGGCTGTATCTCTCTCCTCGAGTGTCAAAACAGCTAAATTCTCGCGTAGGTTAAAAGGAAATTCAAAGAGCTACAATTCTGTATTTCACGAGGATTCCCTAAAACAGCTGTTTACCTTGTCAAAATTGGCCTGGAAGTCTGTACGAAATTTGGAGTTCTTATTTGACAGAATTTCTATGTATGTCTTCTATATGAAGAGATCGATTCATGGCAGTGAAGATGTCTTCCTCAAGCATGACGAATTCCATTCCAGTCATGCTTGGCTAAACGCTTTGCTAGGGTTGTGATGTAGCCCTAACTTAGCACACTGATTTGATTGTATTTAATTATTGGAGAACAATTTTTATCATGCATGATTGTGTAATCTATAGGATTTTTAATTGACTTTTCAATAAAAATCGGTTTTAGAATTTTAATTCAATTACAAATATTTTTCTATTTTGTCTTAGATATTTTAATCTTGTGATTGAACACAACTCATTTGCTTCTTGTAGTTGTGAATGAGATGATTACACAATGGTATTTATCTGAATATAATGTTAGAGATTTGATGGATTATACCTAGAAAGATAGATCATGCTACACCTTAGAGTAAAGTAGATAGGTAGATGGTGTATACCAATCGAAGATAGTCCATGCTTAGCTTTAAATTATATTATTTTCTAGTTGAATTAATATGTGCTTGTAGCCATGATTAATTCCCTATGCATGTTATATGATATATCTCCAATAAATTGATGCAATTCACTGATGATGCGACGTTAATGGTGAAGTCATTCCCTAGTCCTCTCACTCTATTTTCTACATCCTATTTAATCATTGTTCTGTAGTTTATTTTATTTTATTTTTCGACTTAGTTAATTTAAAATTAATCACCACAATTCAATTATCCTACTTTCAAGTTAATTTGGAATTTAAGAAATCTGCTGACAAACTTACTTTACACAAGTCCCTTGGGTACGATACCCTTACAAGTAAGCCATATCTGCAAAGATTCGTGTACTTGCGAGTGGTACATATAAATCTCACAACACATTCACAGAGTTGCAGGGATTTCTCTGTGATGAAGAGCCAAAAAGAAATTACATAGTTCAAAATGATAATAACCGATCCCACTACACTGTTACAGAATTAGGGCTATATAACAAGTGTGAGAATACCAAAATAACCGATCCCACTATACTGTTACAAAGTGTGCGCGCGCAATCAATGTCAAATAATGATGGATGCTGCAATCAATGTTTAATAATGCATGTCCACCAATAAGCTTTTGGTTTTCCAACAGTTGATACCTGATATTGTTTTAACCAAAGCATGTTTCCTCTTATGGTTCTTGATACAAAAACTGTTACCAGTAGTTTTTCAAGTTTTATTCAATTTCCCATTGTATATTATTCAAAACTTGGAGTTGTATATTCCACAGAAATAATGCAACATAAGTTACAACATGCGCTTCAGGAAACTCCCGAATTAAAAGGACAATAGCACAGCCAGTAGGGCCATTGCTCAGGCTTACCTGGCCGTTCTAGCAACTACCAGATCAACATGGAACAACTTTTAGAAGTTCTCACAATTTATAACACTCCATCACGAGTGTCAAATTTTTGAGAACCAAAAGTGGCTCTGAGGAGTTTAAAGGAAGTCATGCCTTGAACATTTGAAAAATATTACAGGTTGAGGCAAAACTCCAGATGTCTGTTCTGCCAGATTGCTTTGCTTTCATTCACACGAAGTTGCTATCCTTTCAAAAGCTAAAAGGGCCAGAGATATTCTACTTATCAGTAACAAAAAAAAATAAAAATACAAATTGGTTTCTAATTAAGCGTAAGGCATCAACCTTGTTGATTGCAATAAAAGCATCTTTGCTTCTACTGTCCACAGTCTTCCTACCATGGTTTACAATCACCTGCTATATTTGTATAGAAGTTTGGCCAACGCTGTAGGACCTAAATAACCAGTAGACAGTCCAAACAATGGGAACTTTCTTTGCAGCTGGAGCATTAGAGCTGAATTTCCCAGAAGAAAAAAGTTCATTTGTGTTAAAATTTGGTTGCGGAAATAAGAAATGCAAATAGGAAAAGGGAAGAGAGAGAGATGGAGAACACGGGCATATAAATGGTTCGGTACTAAGGCCTACATCCATGGGCAAAGAGCCACTAAGGGTTACATTTTTATTATTCAAGATTTATGTTTTGTTTCAGTACAAAGAGCCTATATATAGGTATGGCAAGGATAAGAAAATATGGAAAGTGTACAATAGTCAAAGGAGGCACCGTGATTGGTGGATGATTTTGCCTTCACCGTTATATAGAAACATTTATATATTTCAACACTCTCCCTCAAGTTGGAGCATGAATATCATGAATGCCCAACTTGCCAAAGAAACGCCTCGAAAGATGATGAGAAGGTGTCCGAAATAAATCCAGGAAATTGACAAAATCTTGCTGGGAAAAATGACTAGATCTTGCGGGGAAAATGGCCAGAACTCGCCGGGGAAAATGGCCTGAACTACGCGAGGGAAAATGGCCTGAACTAAGCGGGAAATGGCTGGAACAACGCCGGGAAATGACCAGAACTAAGCCGGGAATGGCTAGAACTTGCGAGAAATGGAATGTGAAGAGTGAAGACAGAGAGAATATGCTCCATGATAATAATACCAACACTCCCCTCAAATTATAGATGGATTACAAGAACATCTAGGCTTTGATACCATGTTAAAATTTGGATGCGGAAATAAGAAATGCAAATAGGAAAAGGGAAGAGAGAAGATGGAGAACACAGATATATACATGGTTTGGCACTAAGGCCTACATCCATGGACAAAGAGCCACTAAAGGTTACATTTTTATTATTCAGATTTATATTTTGTTTTAGTACAAAGAGCCTATATATAGGCATGGTAAAGATAAAAAAATATGGAAGGTGTACAATAGATTAGGGGTGACAATATTTGACACGACACGTTAACACGACACGGGATAAGAGGTTTGGGTTTGGGCTAATCGTGTTCGTGTCGTTATCATGTCAACGCGGATGGATCCGCTAATTAAACGTGTCATGTTTGACCCTATAAACACGATTATGACACGATTAACCCGATTAACTAAACGTGTTGTATTCGTGTAAAAAAATGACCCATTTAACTAAACGTGTAGAATAAACATGTCGTTTTTTCGTGTCAACATTGACTTAAACGTGTCTTTTCGTGTCATGTCAAAACCCATTATTAAACAGGTTACGCGTGTCGTGTCGTGTTATACGTGTAATAATCGTGTCGTGTTCGCGTCAAGGGTCTTAGACACTATTAATAATTGTTCGTGTCAACCCTAATAGTGTTCGTGCCGTAATCGTGTCGACACGAACACGACACGCCAACACTAATTGCCACCCCTACCAATAGTCAAAGGAGGCACCGTGATTGGTTGATGATTTGCTCCCACCGTTATATAGAAATATTTATAGTTGGAAGGAAATTATCCGGATCACCATGATTGGTGGAGGATTTTGCTCCACAATTATATAAATATATTTATATATTTCAACAATTTGTATTACAAGAAGTCACATAGATGCACTTCATGTGCTTTTGCAACTTTAGAGCTTCCAAAAATAAGTGGTGGCTCGCGAATTAAAGGCTATCAAACTGGGTCTGAAGTTGCCAACACTTGCACAATTTACACAGGGTGCTGATTGCAAGTTATTCAACGATGTAAGAGATATTTTAAAGAATACAAGGCTGCTAATTGTAAAGACAGAAGGCCTCTCCAAGCCATTATGAATAGGATGAGCAGATTTGCTTCATGCGATGCGGTCGGTGTCTAAAGAATATAATAAGGTTGCTAATAGTTTTGCCCCATTTTCCAACAAGTGGCCATACATCAGCTTTGTGACTTCCCATGTCGTGCTCCTTCATCTATTCAAGCAGGATGCAGAACAAAGAATGTTTTCTATATGCATATAGATAGATATAAATATATTAACAGTAAAACCAAATAAAACTAATGAAAATTATAGAAATAGTCCAAGTGTTAAACAAAGAACATATCATTGTTGTGTACTGTAAATTGACTGGTTGGCATAGGTGAAGTGTGTAAAAAACCATCTTACAAACCCTAACAGACCACTACCAAATTAGAAGAATTTTTTTTTTGATAAGTAAATTTTATTGAAAAACCGCTCAAAAGGGGAGCGAGACCCAAGAACAAAAGAACAAGGCCAAAACGCCTCAAGCCTTCAAAGAGGCCAAAAAAACAACCAACTCCTCAACAGATTGATAATCCCTCCTGAAATCCAACAAAAAAGAGTGGAAAGAATAGAGAACTTAATCATAGAGATAGCTTTTCCTTTCCATTGAAGTATCTCCGATTTCTCTCAAGCCAAATACACCACCAAACACAAAGAGGTGTAGCCCTCCAAGCATCCCGGATGAGAGTCCCCACTGAACACCCTCTCCAAGCCTCAATCAACCCTCTAGTGGAGCAAGGCATCACCCACGGGATCCCAAATAACCCAATCATCAAATCCCAACATCCCCTAGCCATGCAACAATGAATCAGAAGGTGATCAACAGTCTCCTCATCACACAAACACAAATAACATCTATTAATCACCACCTGATTCTCCTCCTCAAATTATCCTGGGTCAAAATCCTACCCAAGACAGAAGTCCACGTAAAGAAGGCCACCTTGAGGAGGCCTTAGAAGAATGGTGCTACGATTTTGTAAATCGTGGCCAAAGCTTATGTAATAATTTTAGTTTTAGCCATTTAGGGCTTTAAAAAGGTTTAATAATAATAATAATAATAATAATATATTATATATAAATTCATGGTCTGAGAAGGGTAAAAATTTGCTTGGTCGTAGACAACATGAGTTGCATTTTAGAGAAGTTAAAAGGTCATTCCACCCCGCATACAACAGGTGCTGGGAGGGGTGGATTCGACACGGATCGATATTATAAATACGTTGCAAGGAATTTTGGACACAAGAATTTGGGAATTTTGAGCATTAATTAAGATAAGAGGATGGGAAAAATGATTTGGGGATACTCCCTCCGTCCCAAAAAAAGCGTCAATCTTTCCTTTTTGGGATGTCCCAAAATAATTGTCCACTTTCCTTTTTCAAACAATATATTTTACATCTTTCCATATATGTCCTTGAAATTTAAAATTTCAAACTTGAATATTCAAAACTTAAAAGGACAAGTTAGTAACTTTCCAGGGGAACAATGCATGTCCCATATGTTCTCCTTAAAAATTCTACTCCCCAAAAGTGACACTCAAATTGGGACAGAGGGAGTATTGAATAAGGGTTAAGAATGAAAAATAAAATAAATTAGGACCGATTGTAATAAAAAAAAGAAAATATGATCATTGTTTTTTAAGAGAAGAAGAATATTTAAGGAATGTCACCTAAAATCACATAGTTTTACCCCTCTAGGTTTGCATCACACTATCTTCAAGATTAGAAACAATAAAAGCTTGACTACTTGGATCATTCTACACCTATAAATTATCACACATACAAATACCCAATTACATACCTAGACCCAATAAAGGACCCTGGACCACTATTATGATTTAGGAAGCACGGATACTTCTACAAGAGCGACGTACCCGTATCGGATAGTGTCGGATACCAATACTCCTTGGATACTCGCGGATACGTGTCTAATACTTGTTAAACATATTCATAATTTTAAAATATATTTTTAAATTTCCAGCATGTATACTTCTTAGATACTTCAGCACACATTGTTAACAAGTTTTGAACATTAACTTTTCCAATAGTATTTAGCTAATTTTGTTATGACAAACGCAACAAACTCAAGTTGAACCAAGAATCACGACAGAAATTAAACACACCACACAAAGAATACAAAGATTTATACGTGATTCAGCAACAGCCTATGTCCACGGTTGGGATCCGGCGAAAGTTTTCACTATGTGTAAAATTGGAGAATACAAGTTTTTAGCCCCACTCTGTTTCCATACAAATATCAGAGTCTCTCTTCTACACCACTCCGAACCCTAAGCACCTTTATATATCGGGCTACAAGAGACTGATTAGGGTCCACGACCCATGAGCAAAAAATGGGTCGAAAAAATTTCCACACAAAGGTTATCCAACAGGTCGTCAGGTCGTTGCGACCCGGCACCAAATTCGAGCCACAATATCACAAATTTCAACTGCCTTGGTGACGCAGGACAAGTAGTAACCAATAGTAATCAGAAAGAAGGGGATGAGAATGAGAAGATGAGATGAGGCGAGTCGAAGGAGGTGAGAAGATAGATAGACGGAGGGGTTAAGAACAACAAGAACAAGGAGGGAAAAGAACAAAACGGGAGTTCGCAAGCTCAACGATAATATTCAATTTCTCAAATCTGAATTCTCATATTACAAAGGAGCCTTTATATAGGCAAAATCATAACAAAACCCTAGATAATAAAGTCCTAAAATATCCTTAAAATTAAAACATTACTAAATATAACCATAACCATAAATAAAACCCTAATTTACTACAATCCCTAATTCTATCTCTTTTCCCCTTCTCTAATGATAAGTGCGGGTCATATGTGGTTTTGGGTAAAGTTATATGCCTTGTTCTCCATCACTAAGTTTCAGCATAACTAAATGACAATAATATTTTTAGTGCCAAAAATTGTTTTAAAAAACAATATCTGTTTTTAGGCTCCAAAAAAAGATATTTCTCTAACCACACCCTGCCAACTCCACCACAGGTGTTTTTGTAGTCTAATTATTAGTACTACAAACAGTCTTCTTGCTGAGAAACATAATTGACAAAAACTTCTATTTTATATGTGCTCTATATTAGGCACAAACAAAAAATATTTCTTAAATTCTTTTTTCTTTCTTTATTTTTTTATTCTTTTGTCTTAAATTATTAAACCCAATTATTTTATAATGAAACGAACATCAAAGTTCCTTCCTCCCAGGTTGTTATTAATCCCTAGTAAAACCTCCATTATTACTATCAAGGAAAGAGAAAAAAGAAAAATGAGAAAGAGAAAAGGAACCTCCCGTGTGAGATATATATATCTACCAAAGATAAATTTCTAAATACAAGGTGGTTGAGATGGTTAAGAGATACCTCTTCCTTTTCAGATTGATCAGCACTTCTTTGAACTCGTTTTTCAAGTTCAATTAGCTCATTCCTTAAAAGCTCAAAACGTTGAATTTCACTCGACTCTGAGCCTGCTCCAGCCATACTCACTGTAGATTGTTCAAAAGGTTCAACATCCTGCATTCAAGAAATTGTCTCTGAGCGAGTTCGAACTCAAAAGAGAATGCCAACTTTTATAACATTACAAATATTAGAACATCTTAAGTTCATGATGGTGTTCTAGGTATATCAGCAATATCAGCAAGACTTAGGGATCCTTTAAAACAAATATTATATATCGTGGACACTTAAAAGCCTCATAATTACGCTCAATACTAAATCTACACGTTAATATAAATTTTACTCAAAATGCTGTATTATATATCTTTTAAAGTTGAAAGCTAAACCACAACTTAAAATTTAATTAAACAACAATGGCATCATTGGAATGAGGGCTTCAAAGATCACATGAGCTTTTTATGTGAGCAAATTAATCTAATAACGTTAATAAATACCTTAATATTTATTGAAGAATATTGTTATGACAAATGGAACGAACCTAAGATAAAATCAAGAATCATGACAGAAAAGTAAACACACCACACAAAGAACAAAAAGATTTATACGTGGTTCGGCAACAGCCTACGTCCACGGTTGAGATCCGGCGAAAGTTTTCACTGTGTGTAAAATCGGAGATTACAAGTTTTCAGCCCCTCACTCTGTTTCTGTACGAATTTCAGTCTCTCTCTCTTGCACCACTCCAAACCCTAAGCACCCTTATATATCGGGCTACCAGAGACTGATTAGGGACCACGACCCATGAGCAAAAAATGGGTCAAAAATTTTCCATCGTCGACCCGACACCAAATTCGGACCACAACATCACAAATATCATAAGCATCACCATAAACTGAGGGTGTTGGGAGGGATAAACTTGGTACAAACCTAACATTAAGCATTATTTGTGCCCTCATACTTGGAATTGTGTTATCATACTTGACAGCCCAAGCTTTTACCATTAGACTAAGCAATTGCCCTCGTTACTTCCTTAGGAAGTCCTTTCAAATCATGGCGATTTTTCCTTTTGTCCATTTTTCAAAAAATAAAATAAAAAATCACAACTACTTTTACCTATCTTTTGCATTCTCTAAACAGGTGGTTCTTTCTAGGGGAGTGATCCAACTCTCTTCTTCGCTCTTTTTATTGTCAAAGAATTGTTATCGTTTGTAATAATTTCTGATTACCCATCCAATATTTTTATGGACTGCAAAATTCTGAGCTACACACTAAGAACAATATCGTCACCCCTATTGACAGTTATCAACAATTAAATCGATCTATGAATGAGAAACCCAAGATTTATGTCTTTCTTTAACATCCATATTGTTGGAGAATATCATAGGAGTGATTTGAGTCTATGACAGAATGTTGATTGGAGTGATTTATGGGATTGATTTTAGAAATCCTCCATCAATGTATTTTCCATATTTATCACTTGTATTCTTTCACCTATAAATGAAGGTCCTGATTGTAAACAATATTTAGAGAGAATATAATAAAAGTGATTTAGCCCTTTGGAGTTTGTGTGTGTATCCTAGTGTTCTTCATGTTTAATGTCTCTCTTCAATTTTTATGTCTTTCAACACAAATATAGCAGAAAAAACTTATTTACTGCAAACTGGTTCTAGTTTCCCATTTTCAGCATTTGTGAAGCGATGCTAGGATGTGCTATGGGCTAAGAAAGGAGCATGTCCAGCAAAAACTATTAAAATACTAGCCTTTTTGGCTGCCTAACATCAAATAATGTGAGATAGAACCCTAAAACTTACTTTACGGCAAAAAAAATCTAATCACAGTCATCAACCAATGTAATGTAGAAGATCTTTTTTACAGAAATATTAACACCCAATTAATTATCAAAATTAACACCCAATTATCATTATCATCCATGTTCTTATGGCAAAGGAACTGGTAAGCCACATGAATCCTCTTGTTCCATTCTCTCCTGTTACAAGCTGTTTCTCTCTGTCTATAACTTCATCACATGTTTAAAATTGGCAACTTGAAAGGACTAGTATGCTGTCACCAATTTCGCACTCAAAACTAAGGAACTTCTAGGACAATTTGGAAGCCCAAAGAGTCAGCTTATGCGAAGTGCTATGATCATGATTGTTAGTACATCGAACAACATTGTTTAGTTTCTCCTTTATTAAGCCATGGCCGGTCAAGTTTTAACTGTGGATGCCCTTGGCATTGGATCCGTTGGTTGGGAGATTCTCACCAACCAGTTTACATCTACCTCATCTACCTTTTGACATCACATTGACTACCCCTACATTCCTAAGTAATCTTTCCTCTACTGTCCCACAGAAATATAAGGTTACTTATCAAATATTATTTACTTCAGTAAATTATACAAACCTGAACTGTTGACTTATTTCTCTTCAATTGGCCATACAAAATGTTTCAGAGAAACAGCGATTCTCCAGTGAGACCTAATCCTATCTTCATATATTTCTCGAGATATTTTCTTACCAAGTTTTGCAGTCATCTGTATCACCATGTATTGATTTAATGCAACTTTATGAAAATTGGCAAACTAGTAAAATTGATTATTGTTTTTTTTTTGATAAGTAAGAATTTTATAAAAAAGTGCTCAAAGGGGAGCGAAACCCAAGGAAACAAGATGAAAAAACCAAAAAGAGCCTCAAGCCTTCAAAGAGGCCAAAAAAATAACAATCTCCTCAACAGAACGATAATCTCTCCCTGAGACCTAACAAAAGAGAGTAGAAATAATAGAAAACTTAAGCATAGAAATGGGTTTCTCCTTGCCATCGAAGTATCTTCGATTCCTCTCGAGCCAAATGCACCACCAAACACAGAGAGGGGTAGCCCTCCAAGCATCCCGGATTATTGTTACATTAAAATTTCCAAAAACAGTCAAATTTCACCTCTTCACGCTAATACAAACCCAAAAAAATCATGATTCGAGGTTATATTAACTGAGTATGGACCATTGAACAATGTCAAGGCCATCATGCATTGAAGAAACTTCACTTAACATTAATCTCTCTCAACACTCATCAAAGAATTTTCAAATCAATGATTTTTGGCTGATTACCAATGTCTGAACAGTCACACTTGGGACATCAATCATTTCATCAAAGGCAAAACTGGGAGCAGAAGAAAAAAGAAAGGTAAGGAAAGGAGATGTGTTCTTTTGGTGGGTGAGAAGAAATGAGGAATGATAGGAAAATTTGAAAGGAAATCTATTCCTCCTAGTGCCCAAAAGTCAATCCACCCAAAAAGGAAACGCTAGAAGAAGAGCGCTACTTTTAGAGTTTTTCCATTTAGGCAAGTCAGAGCCGGGGCTACTCCTCTGCTATTGCCCCTTAAAATAAAATATTTCAAATATAGAAGCGTAGAATGAAAAAATAAGCATCTATTGGACTCTCTTTCCTCTCCTCCTTAACAGCATACCAAGCAGTGCAAACTGTAAACTGACACCCCTTTTGTTCTCCCTGCTCAACCAAACAGTACTGCTCCCTTGCATTACCTTTTCCATTCTTTCTACCTCATCATCCCTTACAGTGACTCTCCATTTGAGAGCTTTATGACTATTCAATGAAGAACTTACATTACCACATCACCAGATTCACCACCATCTGGCTAGTCATGATAGACTAGTTTAAAATAAAATCCAAAAGAAAAATTTCCTGATAGATCACTAAAAGTCCATTCTCAAAATTCTCTCCTTTGTCATCTAGAAGGTTAATGACATCTGAGACCTTCATCTAGGCTTCCACTTGTACTTCAACAGGCTCCAACTGCGATTTGATCTCCTTCAAATTCATCACTTCTTTTAAGCTACATAAAATATTTGGTTTTTGTATAATTGACACAATCTAGTATGAAAGATGACAAGGACATAATTTAGACTCTGTAATTGCCTAAAAGTTTTTGTGTGGTAAAGAAAAGAAAGAGGTAGGGGCATTGGGAGAGGAACCTTTTATAAAGTTCTTAACCATAAAATACCCAAAAGAAAAAAAATATGAAAAACATAAAAGCAACAAGCAAACTTCATTAACAATAAAAAGAACCCTTTTACAGGCTCACAAATTCTACACGGAAAAAGATAACTATAAAACAAAACTCAAAACTCGAGGACCAGGCTTGGAAAAAATAACAAATTACCGCTCTTGCTACTAAGTGTACACTAAATCAAACTAATACTAAAATTTTCTACCCCAAAAAATTCAATAAGTTCCATAAAATAGCAGTTCAGGATCTGGAAAACATCTTCAGTCTTCAAAATACAATTAATAGCATTACTGTAAAATGTTAACAAAAATTGCATAAACTTGGATTAAAATTACATGCAGGTTTAAGTTTTGCATACCTTAAACATAAACATTTACATTTAACTCCTTGTCATCATTGAGATAAAGAGGCATTTTAGTAATACTATCTAATTAGATTAGGTAGGCTTTAGATGATATGGTTGATTAACACACTTCAAGTATTCAAATCATTTATGAATTCTAAATAGACACAAAAAATCATTAACATAAATATGACCTAAGGGTTGTCATTTGAGCCAAACTGAACTGGGCCAAAGATAGCCCATGCCGAGGCAAGCCCCCACACTGTTCCAAATTTGGCACATTTTCTTGAATAAGGTACAGACCAAACTAGGGTTGCCTCAATCTCAGAAGGAAAACGGAAAAAGAGGAACAATATACAAGAGATTTTCCAATAGTAATGGGAACTGCAACTAGAACCAGATTTTTCCTCCAATGAAAACAGACTAAAGAAAGGGAAAGAAAAAAACCCTAAAATTACCAGGAAAACTCTTATACAAGAAAGCAAGAGGAGAAAGGTGTAAGGTGAGGCGAGATAGGATGAGATGGGGTGGGATGAGAAGTAGGGAAGAGATTTACCTTCCAGATATGGAAAATTTCATAATTAAAAAGACAATTTTCAATTATAAAACTAGATTACCAAATTGCATGTTATTGGAGTCATGATCGGAAAAGGGGGCTGAACTCTTTCATTCTGTGATTTTTTTTATTCGATTTGGGAAGGAAATGAAGCATGTTTCTCTATCTCTTTTAAGACAAAGTAACATTACCCACACCATAGTAAGATTGGGCTTGGCTTGATACGAGCTGAAATAAGCGCAGCTTGAGCTCAACCAAATTCAATCGTGGGCCAAGAAACATGTCCAAGCGCTCAGCTCAGCCCAACCGAAGCTCGTTCAATGATTGGGGCCTGACTTAAATCTTTCGGACAAACAGACAAGCTTCAGGCTAGCTCAGCACTATTGAAAACCCTATGGGTAAAAAACTGCAAAGGTTTATAACAAAATCTAGGAAGTAAAGATTCAAACACTTGGCGACTATTGCTCATCCAATGACATGGAAATTTTCACAATTTAACCATCAATTAGGCAAAATGGCAAGGTCCATCCAAGTTAGCCATGTTTTCAGGATTAGCCATGCCATAATATACATAAATAGCCATAGTGATCCTTTGCCAAAAACAATTACTATTAATAAGAGATATGGTAAGTTTTATATATCACTTATTAGTTTTGTACATAAATGCATATCACCTGCATTTACCACATTATGATTGTGTGTTACAACAAGTGTACTATATGTTTTGACATATGATATATCTAATGCATCCGGTCCTTGTTTTAAGTTCCTTTTTGTTATCATTACAGAACTATTAGCTCAAATGTATATTATAATTAAAATAAAATGGTAAAGCACTCCTTTTTATTCTTTTTGCCTTCCTCATGTCCTCTACAGTAGAGGTAAGCTTATTTACTACATCATTTGTCTTTTTGCAAATAACAATTAAACATATTCTGCAATATGTTATTACATTGTTTCCTTTAACGGAAACTACATCTCTTATGACATTCTAGCAGCTGTTCTTCACACTATATTAATCAAATGATTTAGAATGACACGTTAAATTTTAAATTTATAAATCTATACTGTTTTTCTGTTGTTTGATTTGCTTCACTTGAAAACAATAAATAAATGAAACTTGATTGCTAATGTAAATAAACATTACATGTGTATTTCATTTTCTAATTATTAGATCGATTTGCAAAATTTCTATTTCAATCAAATAAACTTTTGTTTGAAATGTATTTATAGTACTTACTAAAAAAAAATGTATTTATAGAAACAAATTACTTGTTTCAATATATAATACTTGATCAAAGAAGTGCAAAGTTGATACTAAAATATCCCATTTTGTCAACGCGTATGTAGCCATCTTAGCCTGTTGCAAGGGAGTCAAGCAAACAGAAATTGTTTTTCCTCTCCTTTCAAGGGAAGCAGGTGGCACAAAAGCAAGTGAAGACGTGTCAGGAAATCTTGTATATGTTGATTACATAATGCATATATCTAATATGTACATATATCTTTCAGTACTGTCCCCTCTTGAGGGTTTTTTAATGAACTTTTACTTATCATATATATATGCGTGTGTGTGTGTGTGTGTGTGTTTCATTACTGTATGCAACTTGTAGCATTGGCTGTTCAACCAGATTTGCCTAGTTTCAATGACCGGCTTCCACTAAAATAGAAAATACCACTGGCATTTGATTCCACACTGAACCTTTTCTACATTTGAGCCAGCACTACAGCTTAGAAGTACATTGCTACTGACATTAATTTTATAGAAATATACAAGCAATTAATAATCCATAGAGTGATTAAGGCATACACTTCCATCTGCAGTGGATAACCCGAGGGCAGGCTTCCTGGTTGGATAGCACACTAAGAAGTTCCATAATCTACAAGAATTATTGACAAATCTGAGGAGCAAAAATTATAAGATAAAACCAATAGAAGAAAGAACCAGATTTACCATAAAAGTACTGCACATTCAAATGAAGTTGCAGGCAAGTACGTAAGAGCTCAAACTAACACAAGAAGCTTCATACCTGTTGCTCCTATCCAGAACTACATCAACACCCTTGCTGTTCTTCCTTCTAGAATATTGTTGCTCCTCAGCAGTAGAAGATGAGGAACGATTATCATCTCCCTAGTTGCACAACACAAAAAGTACAAATAAGAGAGAGGGAACATGGGCAAAATATGCATAATAACAAAATGCAACATAATATTAATGAAAATAAAATTTTATAGTTCCCTCTACCAGAGGGAAGAAAGCAACTTTAGAAAGCAGTTTATGTGGGCTTGGCAAGAAAGAAAACGTCATACTCTGCCCAATTTTCTGGAAAAAGCATGCTTCGGGTTCTTTGCATTGAATATATCATTACATGCATCAGAATTTGAAATTAATGTTATTGCATGATGCTTTAATCAGAAAACTCTAATAATAAACTCAGCTCTTTCTTGGAGGTAGGGTGTTTGGCGGATGTAAAACAAGCCAAGCAGCTTGAGCTCAGCCTGATCTTGACTCTGTTAAAAGTTGCTCAGAACTCAAAACTTAATTAGTTGCATGTATGGCAAATGGACCAAACATGAGCATCCCATTGCTTCGTTTGTCTTATAAGAAATTGTGTGATCTAACTACACATACAAAATTGAAAAGAAGATTCTATAAAATTATGAATAGGATCACTCTCTATGGGATATAAAATACTAGACAATTAAAGAACAACATTTTCATAGATGAGGATTGTCAAAATGCACACACTGAGATGGATGTGTAAAAAAATCAGAAAAGATGAAATTAGAAATAAGCACATTCATAAGGCAGTAGGAGGAGCACTATTGGACCTAAAATGGAAGAAAATAGACTTAAATAGTTTGCTCATGCGCAGGGGAGGAGCCAGAAAATTTCATTTGTTGTGCGTGTGTGTGGAGGGGTAATATAAAATTAAATTTTTGAAAATAAAATAAAATAATTGTGACGATTTTTTTTTTACGACCATGTCTATAAATGATATGAGAAGGGGGAAAAAAAGAGAGAGGAGAATAGTTGACAGCCAATAAATGAGATTGTTGAGATTGAATTCATAACAATTAATATGTGTATATATATTAATTGAAGACAAATATGTTGTGGCAATGGTTACAATAGTAATTTCATTTGCAAACTACCGTTAATAACCATAGATAAGTAACCATAAATAATAGTAGTATTTTTTTAACAAATTTGGAGGGGCTAGGAAGAAAAAAAAGAAAAAAAGAAAAAAAAAAAAAATTCATTGGCAAGAAACTCATGCATCCATTTGTCCCTACGGGAACTCGAACCCTCACCATCCCCTTTGGGAGGTAGAAGAGATACCACTAGATTTGATTTTCCTATATAAAATTACCCATTAATAACCATTAATAAATACCATAAAAAGAGTTTCGAGAAAGAAAAAAAAAAATTTGGGGTCTCTCATGCGCACCAATAACTACTATTAAAACGATAGAGAGTGAAATGGTCCACAGAAAGAGTGATATTGAGGAATTCAGTACATCATAAAAAGGCATTGTAGTGTCACTTATATATGAACTCGTGATCTTAACAGATAGTACAGGGCCAAAATCGGATTCATGTAGCCGACTTCAAAAAGTCGAGAAAAGGGATTTGTTGAGTTGAGTTGTAGAGGTAAAAAGATACCAACCCTCTTGGGGAAAGAAAAAAAAAAAAAAAAAAAGAAAAAAAAGAAAAAAAAACACAGGTAAATTTTATCAAAATTTCTAGGAGTTTTCATATGATGTGACAATCTTAACTTGAATGTAACCAACATTCATGGAAAATAAATCATCGATAATCTTTATCAAAACTTCTAGTAGTTGTCATACGATGTCACAATTGAAGCTGTTTGGAATTTTGCATTGTGGTGAAAATGCTCAGAAAGTTTCAGCTTGAAAGGATTAAAAACATCTGTACTTTCCTTTGTTATGACTGGATAGAAAGAATTCATATTCAAAATTTACACTTGGTTGTCCCGAGCCGAGAGGAACCCAGCTTAGCTCCTCCTCAGGTTTTTAGGTCAAAATTTGCTCTGAGCTCAAGCAAGGATGCGGAAAGTCTAGTCGAGCTCAAGCCGAGTTTGAGCATTAACACAATTCTACTAACCCGAGCTTGAGCACTTAAATTGTCATCTAGTTTGCATATCATGGTGGACAAACCAACACATACTCTTTTTTTATGGTAAAAAGAAGCATAATTGTGTCATGAGTGGATCAAGTGTACTGCATCCGGCGGTCCACATCACACACACTTGCGTGACCGCTCACACGTGTGTGTGTGTGTGTGTGTGTGTGATGTGGACCGCAGGATGCAGTACCAGAGGATCCGGACTCACTGCTGTCATAGATATGCATGCACTGTAGTTAAAACAAAAGCTCATTACCAACTAAATGAACCTTTCCATTTAACAATATACTTGGATCTGCTCCTAGATCACAGGAGTTGAGTTCTCTGTATTGAAGGCAATTGGTGTTGCATCAATGGAGTGGCTAAACAGTTACAAGAGGATATGGAAGCCTAAAATGATGGCCTGTTTTTTATTCATCTAATGGGAAATCATTTCTCAGTGTTTGTTGTATGTGGATATACATTGATACATACATACATAGGTAAACATATATGAGAAGCAGACTGACGCAAACTCCATATCCAACAGATACAGATTGATCAGCAACCAGTTTTTGATTCTTGTAAGGGAAAATAATCTGGCATTTACAATTAAAAATATTTATTTTTATAATTTAATTTATTCGTAATAGCAAAAGATAACAAAGTCCCAGGTAGCAATGAGAAAATTCTTGCATCAAAACAATACAGGAAAAAGCCAATTGTTTTCCAACTCATCCAAAACAAAACTCCACAAATTCTATAACAACAAATAATTTACTACATCAGGAGAAAGGCGAGATATTTCAGGTGTGCAGCACTTGGCACTCAAATCATTCTAGGGAACATTTTATTCCTTAAATCAAATGAACTGGAGAAACGTACCTGCTGAAGAGAAGCTGCCTTTGCTCTGAAAGATGCCTCAAGAAATTCAGCCTCTTTCTTAAGTTTCCTTATGCTCTCAAGATCAGAACAAGCAGCTTTTAATTGCTCTTTTCCAGAATTGGAGCTTGATACATGCAGCTCCTGAAGCAACTCCTCTAGCCTTATCAGAGCTTCTTCAACACTTTCCAGTGCCTAAAACCAAAAGCCCGTGCCATTGCACCATCAGAAGGGTTTACCGAAGTTCTAACCTTTGAATTCCTACTCCTATCCAACTCATCCTCCATCTGTCCTAACTATTGAGTTCCTTATCTCACTACTAATGAAACTGACTTTCCATAAAAGGAGGAACCAATGTAAGATAAAACCTATGGACCGCTTTAATATCCCGCCAAATTTACAGCAAAGTGATGCTGCTCTTAGGGAATCATCTTGTGATACAGTGCACCAATGAGAAGATGAAAACATCTTCATTGGAATGTTCTACAAGATTGACAGCTTAGAAGTAATCTCATAGGATTCACAACTGTGAAAGCCACGCTTACAAAGGGTTATTTGAAAACTATAACATCAATTTTCAATCCCTTAGGATGTCAGCCCAATGGTGAAAGTCTTTCTAGATTGCTGGAAATCGGAGTATTGATTAAAGTTGAAATGAAAAAGAGAAACAAGCTAAGCTGCACAAACAAAAAAATACACCACCTATTTTTCACTGTCCAATCAGTAAGAGAAGAGTGGCATTGTCATTTACAAATAAACACAATCCAAATAGAATAATGCACTTCAAAACAAACCTGTCTTTTGTAGAGATTGAGGACTACCTTATCAAAAGAATCTGGCTCTTTTCCAGATCTACTCCTCTCAACAGATTGCTTAGCAGTGCTTTCAATCAATTCAGTCCTGCATCATATTTTCTTAAACAAGTACTTTCTGCAACTACTAATCTTTAAAAAAAACCTTGCATAACCCGATCAATATTCATGATTATTAAAAATGCATTACAAGCAAACAACACAACCATATAAATACCTTGGGGACAATCAAGTAGGAATTTATCGTAACATATGCTTTATTTGGTCAACTCCAACTACAAACCAATCTTTTGCTAAATTTACGGATCTATATCAGAATCATAATCAGATTGAATTGGATTGATGTCAGATTTTGTCCAACCCGTTGACCACCTCTCACCATGTTAAATTTGTGCGAGACAGAAATCTCAGTTATTTACAAGAGATCACTTAGTGAAATTGGGAATGCCTTAGTTATGGCAAGTTCTCTTTTCAGGTTTGATTTTTCCGACTTCAGTAACCAGGTCAAAAAATATCATGCATGAGATGATAGTTTTGGGAGTTTAGTTTAAGCACTCTTCATAACTAAATAAGCCAAGTTCCATCTATCACACCTGTCTGCAAGAGTGACCAACTTTTTCGTATTAACAAAAGGAAAAAGAAATCATATTCTGATATTATACGCATGGCATCTGCACTACAAAAATACCCAAAAGGAAATTTAAGGCAGTAAACTAAATATAGACGTGTGTTGTCTTTAAGAGATAATCAAAACAGCAATTAAAGTAGAAGAAGATGAAGAAGAAGAAGAGAAGGAAGAGTGGAGAGAAAGGGAGAGAGGTGGGGAAAGAGAGAAAGAATGAAAAGAATACTTTCATCCTTCCACCACATTGTATTTATACTAACAAGTTTCAGAAATTACACATAAGCCCCTAACATTATATAAGTAATAAGCCCCTGACAACAATGTGGTGATCTCTCTTCTAAATAAGATACAAAATATGGGAAGCAGATTATATATAAACTTCTAAATTAAGGGATGGAAAGACCGGACACATTCACGATGAGATTCCAACAATATATTCCAAAATATATGCTATTGGTTGATGATAATATTATAATCAATGAAACTATAGAAAGAATAAGAGCTAAATTGGAGGTATGGAGGTAAGCTTTAGTATTAAAAGGATTTAAGATTAAAAGAAAAAAAACTAAAGTATATGGAGTGTAACTTAAAGAAATCTAGATATAAAAAGAGGGATATAGTGAAGATTGATGATCAGGATATACCAAAAGGTGAACATTTGAGCTATTTAGGCTCAATTATTCGCAATGAAGGAGAAATTGAAGATAATGTTAATAAAAAAAGCAAGACATGGTGGGTTAAATGGAATGTGATTAGAATATTGTGTGATAGGTGTATTTCTCTAAGATTCAAAGAGATGCTCTACAAAACAGTTATTAAATCAGTCATTCTTTACGGTACAAAATGTTGGGAAACTAAAAAACTACATATGCATAAATTAGTGTGGCAAAAATGTGAATATTGTGATGGATGTATGGCAAGGGTAAATATGATAGAATAAGAAACGAACACATTCATGAAATGGTTGTAGTAGCACCCACTGGAGATAAAATTAAAGAAATTTCATTAAGATGGATTGAACAAGTGCAAAGAGTACCAGTGAGTGAATCAATTAGGACGATTGACATAGTCTAGGACTCGGGTAATGATGGGGGAAGAAAAATGCCAAAACATGGGTACATGGGTAGAGTAATTGAAGAAAAATATTATAACATATTGTTTGACTGAGGCTGTGCCTTAGAGCAGAATGAAAAATTATAATTCACATAGCCGACCCAACTAGCTGGGAAAATGCCGTCTTGAGTAGCATTGCTATAATGGCATGCACTATTACCCAAAGTTCATATCAAATGCAAATTTTGTCGCGTTCACATTTCTTAGTTAATTGATGAAGTTAATTGACTAAAATTTCCAAGCTCCAACTCTTAGTTCTCAAATTTTAAATGCTTCATAGTGAAAATGTAAAACATAATACGTTACATCACACGTCTTTGAGAAAGAGTATGCTAGTGACTACTGTCTTATGTAAATAAATGCACATTAAGTTTCAAAACTAAATTGAAAGAATGAACTGCACAAGTTTTGGGGTTTGAGTGGGTCTGGTAGTGGAGATGCAGCTGGAATCTGCTATTCCGACCAGTCACCAGAGTCATAAACTCCGGTGAAATCCTCTGCTACTCGTTTTTTCGCGTTTCTCTTTCTCTTTGGGGCCTTTTTTCTTTTGTTCCTCTTCGGATCGTTTTTTGCCTTTTTTTTTTCTCTCTTTGTTATGCGATCTTTCTTGGAGGTTGCGCGTTTGCCTCGACTTTTTCAGGGCAGGTCTATAAGATCTGCAGTTACATACAGAGGACCTTCGATTTTTTTGAATGATGAATCGGTTGGCCGAAGGAAAGAGGATCTCCAGTCTTGTCTGCTGGGTAAGTTTGACAAGGATGTGGGTGATAGGGGGCAGATTGCTGCTTGGGCATCTCGGGCTTGGAAGGTCTCCCCGGAGGTGGTGGTTTCACCTTTGCCGGATTCTCTGTTCCTTTTTCGTCTTCCTTCTTTGGCGGAGGTAGCATGTGTGCTCAATGAGGGTCGTCGTGACTGGGGTAAGGCCACCCTTCGTGTGGACACTTGGAGTTTCAGAGTGGGTTGTTCTGAGGTTTTGAAAGAACAGGGGCTGAAGAAGGTGACGTTGTACCGCCTCCCTCTTCACCTTTAGAGTCATGCCCTCTTTGTGACAGTCGGTGACCTTTGTGGTGGCTTTGTTTGGGTGGATGCTGATGAATCCTTGGATGCAGAAAAGGTTCGCATCACTGTTTCTGTGGGGCGTGTTTGCCCTCCTTTTATCTTCATTCACGATGACAGTTTCTGCTACAAAGTGGCTATATGGGAGGAGAAGCACCCCGAGCTTGTCCCAACGACGGATAGGTGGTGACGGCTCACACTTGTTAAAGGAGGAGGAGTGGCTGAGATGGGAGTCTATGGGACAGAAGGGTTTAGCTGAGTTTCAAAAATGGAAGGTGTGGAGAAATGAGCTCTGGATCCAGAATACGGAGTGTTTCAAACGGATCTTCAATCAGAGGAGAAGAGAAGGCTTTCCTTCGTTGTAGGATCGTGGACGGCAAGTAGGTCTCCGGTTTTTTCAGAGGGGTGGAGGTTTCGGGAATCATGGTCGTCGACCGGATTTGCAGAAGGGGATCGGAGAAGAACGCGAGGTGGTTTCCACGTTCCTATGGCGCGTGGGCGCGTGGGTGGGGAAGGCATGGGGAAAGGACACGTGGTTGGCAGGCAGGGTTTGCCCGTTCTCAAAAGGAAACAGTTGTATCCACGTTTTTTTCAAACTCTTTTTCAAATTATCAGGCCCGAAAAGCTAAGCAAGCCTCTTCTAATGATGGGCCCATTGTTGGGCCGGAGATTGGGGGCCTTGTTCCTTGTGTTGGTGTTCCTTCTTCTCTTGCGCCAATTGCTGGGTCTTCAGTGGATTGCAGTTTTGATTCAAGTTCTTTTGGACCGGTTAGAGTGGAGGAGGCCCAAGTTGTGGATGTTGGGTGCTCTTTGGGCATGTCCTCTGGTTTGGGCCGTGAGTTAAAGGTTGGGCTGGGGTCTGGGTCTGGTGGCTCTGAGCTGGTTGTGGGTAATAGGTTTGGGCCGTTGTCTTCTTTTAAGGATGACTTAGAGACACAGCCTTCGGGCCCGATTAAAGAGTACTTCAATAATGGACGGCATGCTAAGCTACCTGTGCAAGGTCACCGTCGGCGATTTAAGAAGAAGATTCTTCTTCCAGTTGTTTGCAAAAGATGGACGCGTAAGGAGAAGCAGAAGTGGGTGAAGCGTAAGGATTCCAATTCTGATCCGGGTATGCTCAACCTTTCGCCTGATCTCTCTCTTCTGAATCACTCCTCTTCTTCCTTTTGTTCCCCTTCTTATGGGGTGTCGAGACGATGCTCGGGGCTTGAAAAGGGAGTAATGTCCTCTGTTTCTAAAAAGTTGGAGACGATTTCTGAGATGGAGTCGGAGGTGGACGTGAATTTGAGTCATTTTGGAGGGCAAGGCCTTTCGATGAATTCCTCTCGGTTTCCCAAGATGCCCTGCAAGGGAGATTCTGTATGTGTTAGGCGTGATTTGTGGATTAATCTGGACGAGGTTTCCGCTACTACTTTGTTAAAGGAGCTGTAGGCTCACATGGTTGTGAACGGGTTTGTGACTAAAGAGGAGTTTGGGTCTCCGCGGTCTTCTGGTTCTCCTTCCAATTATGTTCTTGAGGAATGGGAGGATGTCTCATATTCTTCGTTTGATAGAGATAAGGGGCCAGTCCAATGGGATGGTTTTGAGCCGAATGTGGAGATGGTTGTTCCTTTGGCTGTGGTTGGACTGCAGGGGGAAGGATGTAGGGGGTGCTGCAGTTGTTGAAGGTATGGAAGATTTTGAGGAGTGGTTTAGGGAGAAGGGTGGGGAGGTGGGTTCTTTGTTGGGTGTATCTTTTGAGGGTAGGATGGAAGAAGTGTTGAGTTTGTTCCATGATGTGCTGAATTCTCAGATTTTGGATAGGGGGGGAAGCAGGGGTGGGGTTCAGGATGGGCTAGGAGGGAAGGAGGTGCAGAGTCCCAATGAGTTTGTTACGTATGAAAGAGGATGAGGGGGCCCAGGGAGAAGGACAGTGGGAGGAGTGGAGGGAATGCATTTTCTACTGTTTCCCTATGATGCTACGAATCTTATCATGGAATATCTGGGGTCTCAATGACCCGTAGAGGAGAAAAGTTATGAAGGCGGCAATTAATAAAGGGGGAGGTTATGTGGTGCGTTTGCAGGAAACTAAAATTGCTTCGATGACGGATTTGATTGTGAGGAGCCTTTGGGGTGGGAGATTTGTGGAGTGGTGCACCTTGGATGCTTGTGGTTCTTCAGGTGGAATTCTTATTATGTGGGATAACAGATAGGTCTCTTTGGTGGATTCTCAGATCGGGAGTTTCTCTGTTTCGTGCGTTCTCTCTTTGGTGGAGGATGGTTTTCATTGGGTCTTTTCTGGAGTTTACGGGCCTTCGGAGGACAGTGTTCGTCCTTTGTTGTGGGAGGAGCTGGGGGTTATCAAGAGGAGATGCTTGTTACTGTGGTGCATTGGAGGGGATTTTAATGTTGTGTGTTCTCCTTTTGAGAGATCGACGGGGGGGAGGTGGACGGCTAACATGGAGTTCTTCTTGTCGTTTATTGATGATCCTAGGCTTGTGGATTTGCCTTTGAAGGGTGGACCCTTTACCTGGTCTAGTGGTCGCTCTCCTCCTACTCTCTCTCGGCTGGATCGTTTTCTTGTGTTGGAAGAATAGGAGGAGAAGTTTTCCGATGTTGTTCAGGCTACTTTGGCTCGTCCTATCTCAGACCATGTTCCATTGTTGTTGGATTGTGGTGGGTTGCGCAGTCGTCATTTTCCTTTCAGATTTGAGAATATGTGACTTCGTGCTGAAGGCTTTCTTGGGAGGGTCCGTTCCTGGTGGGAAGGGTTTGGGGTGGTTGGCACCCCAAGCTATACGCTCGCAGGTAACCTTTGTCTTCTTAAGGATTGTCCCAAGATTTGGAACAAAGAGGTGTTCGGGAATCTTGTTTGGAGGAAGAATCGGGTATTGTCTAAGATTGCTGATATTGATTGGATGGAGGGTCAGGAGGCCCTGGCGGATTCCTTGAAGGCTAAGAGGGTGCAGTGTCAAGCGGAATTTGCTGATATTGCTATCATAGAGGGCATTTCGTGGACACAGAAATCTCGGGCTTTGTGGCTTAAGGAGGGTGACAAGAACACGAAGTTTTTCCATCGATTGGCCAATGCTCATAGGAGGGGTAATCATATTGGGAGGATTCGAGTGGAAGGGGTGTGGTTAAGCAAGGAGGAGGAGGTTAGAAAGGGGAGGTGATGGGTACTTTTCATGCTTTCCATGCTCAGGGCTCTTTTGAGAGGAGTTTGAATGCCACTTTCGTTGCTCTCATTCCCAAAAGGAGGGGGGGGGGGGGGGGGGGGGGGTGGTGGCGCCCTATTAGCTTGGTAGGATGCATCTACAATTTAATTGCCAAGGTCCTTGCTTTTAGATTGAGGAAGTGTTGGATGGCATTATCTCTGACTCTCAGAACGCCTTTGTGGGAAGTCGCCAAATTCTGGACTTAGTTCTTATTGCTAGCGAGTGTGTGGACTCCAGATTACGTAGTGGAGTTCCGAGTGTTCTGTGTAAGCTTGACATTGAGAAAGCGTATGACCATGTAAGTTGGTCCTTCCTTCTTTACCTGATGGAGAGGATGGGATTTGGTGTTCGTTGGAGAAAATAGATTCATTTTTGCATCTTCAGTGCTCGGTTCTCTATTCTTGTGAATGGAGCTCTGACGGGTTTTTTTTCTAGCTCGAGGGGCTTGAGACGGGGGGATCCGCTTTCCCCTTTTTTGTTCCTCTTTATGATGGAGACCCTTAGTAGATTGTTGAAGAGGGCTGTGGAGTTGGGTTTTTTGAGAGGTTTTCGGGTGGGCAGAGATGTTGCTAGTCAGTTGGAGATCTCTCACTTGATGTTTGCGGATGACACATTCGTGCTTTGTGATGCGAATGAGTCCCAACTTCACTATTTAAGATGCGTTCTAATTGTTCTAATTTGGTTCCAAGTTGTCTCCAGCCTTGAGGTGAATGTTGGTAAGAATGTTTTTGTGCTAGTTGGGGAGGTCCCTGATATTGCTATGCTTGCTAGTATCCTTGGCTGCTGCACTGGCACTTTTCCCATCTCTTACTTAGGGATGCCTTTGGGAGCTCCTTCGAGGTGTGTGGAGGTGTGGGATCTTATCGTGAATAGGTTTGAGAGGAGGCTGGCGGGTTGGAAAAAACAGTACATTTCCAAGGGGGGTCGGGTTACTCTGATTAAGAGCACCCTTTCCTGCCTTCCCTCTTATTTTATCTCTCTTTTCCAAATCCTTTCTTCTGTGGCTGAGAGGATTGAGAGATTGCAGCGGAATTTTCTGTGGGGGGTAGAGGGGAGGAGTTCAAGTTTCATTTGGTTCGTTGGGACCAAGTCTGTAGGCCGATTTGGAAGTTTGAGGTTTAGGAGATTGTTGCCTTTCAACAAAGCTCTCCTTGGGAAGTGGTTGTGGAGGTTTGGGGTGGAGAGACATTGGCTATGGAGGAGGGTTATTACGTGTAGGTATGGGGAGAGTAGAGGAGATTGGTGTTCTCTTGAGGTGCGTGGCCCTAGGGGAGTGGGGGTTTGGAAGTTCATTAGGAAGGGTTGGGATGAATTTTCATTATTTTCCAAACATGTTCGGTTTAGACTCAGGAACGGTAGGAGGATCAGTTTTCGGGAGGATGTTTGGTGTGGGGATATTTCTCTTGCTCTCGCTTTCCCTCGGCTCTTCAGGATTGCTACGGATAGGCAGGCCATGATCAACTGTTATCAACTTGATAGCGGGAGACTGGTTTGGGATGTTCGATTCAAGCGGCTTTTTCAGGATTGGGAGATTGAGGATGCCACTTGTTTTTTGGAGTTGCTTTATCGGCAAGATGTTATGGTTTCGGATTCTGATTGTTGGATTTGGGCCTCTGGCTCTCAGGGCCGTTTTGATGTTTGGTCCTTCTTCAGGTGTCTTTCAGATGAGCCTGGAGATTTTTTCCCTTGGAAGTCAGTTTGGCGCTCAAAGGCTCCTCTCAAGGTGGCCTTCTTTGCTTGGACCTCTGTTTTGGGTAAAATCTTAACCCAGGATAATTTGAGAAGGAGGAATTAGGTGGTGGATCACCTGTTGTTGCATTGCTCCATGGCTAGGGACTGTTGGGTTTTGATGCTTGGTCTTTTTGGGATTCACTGGGTCATGCCTGGATCTGTTAGAGGGTTGATTGAGGCCTAAAGAGGTTACTCAATGGGGGCTCATATCCGAGATGCCTGGAGGGCTACGCCTCTTTGTGTCTGGTGGTGTATTTGGCTCGAGAGGAATAGGAGATATTTCGAGGGAAAGGAGAGGACTATTTCTTTTCTTAAGTTCTCTATTCTCTCCATTCTTTTTTGTTGGGTTTCAAGGAGAGATCTTAGATCTAGGGAAGAGATTGTCGATTTTTTGGCCTCTTTGAAGGCTTAGCGTATGTTTTTGGTTTGTTGTTCCCTTGGGACGCGCTCCCCTTTTGAGCGCTTTCTATACATTTCTTACTTATCAAAAAAAAAAATGAAACCATTATTTTACAATAAGAAAATTAAATATATATTTGTAATTGTGTTTCCAGACCTTTGCATCTCTCAAGTCTCGATTCTCGACCAATGCTTCAACTCCTAAGTTTTCCTTTCAATTCTTTAATCATGAGCTGATACAATCACACAAATACTTAAAATACACCAACCTATTTTGAAGGTCTTTTACTTTTTATTTATAAAAATAAGATAGAATCAAAACATTAATATATTAATGTTCGATTTTTTTAAAGTTAAAAAGTCTCTAGGTTAAACCGTGTAAAAATCATGAGAAAAAAAAAAATTAAAATTTATCTTTTTGAAGTTAAAATGTTTAAGAAATGATCCACTCGTAGATTGGCTAGTCTTTTGGATCCATGGATAAAATCTTTCAGAAACAAAGTGAAACTGATTTCAAAGAAATCCAAATTAAGTGTTTTATAGTTACCTTATGCTAGTATATGATGCTCCCCATCATTTTATAACTTATATCTGTAGTAAAGCAATGAGAGCTAAACTTCCCCGGAAACAAACAGAACCAAATATTAGCATTAAACCAGATATATACTGTGTTCCCCTAAATCCCATAATATTTTTATCTTTTCAGGCTTCTAAAACCATGTGAATCATATGATTTGTCATACGCATCTTTTGTACTGAGATGAACACGTCTTTACGTGAAGTCGTCTTAAAACAAAGCAATGAGTTTCAAATGTAGTTTGGAAAAATGATGCGGTAATAAATTATGGTCATATCTATCAGATAGTGATTATAGCAACTTCGGGAATCCTTGCCCATAGTTTTTATTTTAGATGGTTTTATAGTGACACAGACTAGGTACCACTACGAACACCAATCTTAAATGCCATAAGTGCGCTTCACCATTAAAACAGGAGATAGAGTTGTGTGCTCATGGGTATGCATGTGCAAATGCATTTGTGTGTGCGTGCATGCGCATGAGATATACATATATATATATATACATTAATATATATATATATAGAGAGAGAGAGAGACTATATCACAGTTTTTGCCTCATTCAACTTACTTTTGTATCCCCAGTTCTTCCATGCACACCCTTAACTTCTTGTGCCTAGAACATTGAAAATAGAAAGCAAATCATTAGAAATTATTTACTGGGGATGCAGCTCACTAATTTCAATCATCAAAGAACCATGAGGTTAATTAAATACCCTCTAGTGAGAAATCTTGCTGCCTTGATATTAGAAGGGTTCTCCAGCCAATTACTGTATTTAATAAAGCTCTGCATCCAGTGAGAGCAAACATCTAATACTTTGGGGATGGCTTCAGCATTGGGAGGACTTTTTGTTTTACTTCCATGACCATGGGAGAATTTTGGGGTACCAATGTTGCCTGGATAAAGAGGAAGCCAGTCCAGCTCTTCACAAACTACCTATGGCATGATCATACTTTCAGATTTTAAACCATAACACTTATGAGATGATATATCTAAAAAGCATTCTGACCTCGACATACAGTTGATAAGAACTTATTGAGGAAAGCTGAGGATAGTATAACACACTGCCTCCAATAAGGTACCTGCTTTAAAA